GACCGCCCCGACATCGGATCGAATTCCGGAAAGCATATAAACCTACATCGGGCCCCGGCCGACATCAGATCATAGTCCGAAACTACTACTAGCTAAACGGGTCGGCCTTGGTGCCTTAGACTCGTTCCTACTGGAGGAAACTCACCTCGAATGCTAGCTGTGAAATCTCGTGTGAGGAATCTCTGACGGCCGCTCTAACGACTCCCCGACTAGCAATTTCACAATGACACTTAATCAAAACCTGATAATCCTTCTTAGGGTAAAATGACCATTTTACCCCTGGTCAAAGTCAACATCCTGGTCAAAGTCAAAGTCAAGGTCAACTCCCAGTCAACCCACCTCGTCGAGTTATCTCCCAACTCGACGAGTTCCTGTACTACTCAGACTCGTGGTCAACTAAGCCAACTCGTCGAGTCCCTTCACAAACTCGTCGAGTTCTACCTGGCATACAATCGGGACAACCCGACTTTAACTCATCGAGTCCCTTACTGGACTCGCCGAGTTCCCCTGCCTGTTTGGGCTATCTTAATGGATTCAGCCCCTATACTCCAGATCTAGACTTCATACTTCACATAAACCCAGGAAATACCCTTTTAAGGGTAAAGTTTCTGACTTTACCCATTAATACCACTTCATAAAGGGTTTAGCTCAAACCCTAATTCCTTGGGACCTAGAACTTGGTCCTTAACCCATCCATACACCAAACTAAGGCTTACAACCTCAAATCTAATCCCCTAACACTACTTGGACACGTAAAGTTCCCACCTTTTCCCACATGCATGGCCTTTTGGGCTAAAAAGGCCAATATGATACTCTATAGCTTGCATAGGGGCTCCAATGGCATAAAGTTTGCACCTTTATGTCATAACAACCATTCTAGGTCCTAGATCTGGAAGATTATCCACATGGGTCGTCCATTATCCAAAGGTTATCATTCTTGGGTCAAAACCTTCATAAAAGGGAAAAGAAGAGATCTAATGAACTAGAGGTCAAGATAGAAACTTGATTACCAGAAAATGTAGCCAATAAGTGTAGTTTATGGATCTACTCTCTTCCTCTTGAGCCTTCTAACTTCTTCTTCTTCTTCAAGCTTCAAGAACACAAAGATTGCTTACAAATGGCTCACACACTCACAAGATGCTCTAGGGTTTCGTGGATTAGGGTTTGGGACAAGGAGGCTGTAAATGAGGCTAAGGGGTGGGGGTTAAGGAGCTTAAATAGGGTGCAAAACCCCAAAATTAGGGTTTCATTCTGGCTGATCTACTCGCCGAGTCGAGGGCTCTTGACTCGTCAAGTAGATAGCTTAAACCCCGCGCATAATCTGCCTTCTACTCGACGAGTTAGGGTCACCAACTCGTCGAGCCCCTCTCTTAAAATGAATAAATAAGTAAGTTAAATGCATACCGGGAACCAGGCGTTACACTAAGTCTTAGTCTTATATTTCTTATGACTAATGATAGTCTAGATTCCTCAATAATCCCAATGTCTACTGATCTGTAGCTGATAAGGAGTAACCAGGTAAGATCATATTAAAGGTAGGGTCCGTTTGGTATACACAATATACTATTTGGAAATCCCATTTTAAGCATCTCACTCAATCTAACCTAAACATCACCCCCGTAAGTAGATCAATCCATAATATGACATGGAACCACTGATAAATCTTATTTATAAATTCATAACAACGACTATGAATATAAATATAAGTTACACTTGAATTAAAATAAGTGCAACTTAACTTATAGAGATTTTCTAGTGAAAGTTGGAAATTGCATTGGTAGAACTCCGACTCGAGAGATTCTACTTTCCGAGCTCTTAAATACTTCAGATCCTAGCTGAATACCTTAAATCCTAACGAAATATCGAGATGTTGGCTTTAGAGAGTTCAGAGAGAAATATTGTGGATGGTGAAGAATGAATGAGGGGGCTGCTACTATTTATTGGCAGATTTTAACCATACGTGTCGCGCCTTCCAAAGTGCGCGCCTCGCGTTTAAGGTGAATTCTCCCCTGTCATTTTGTGCCACGTGTCAACTTCTATGTGGTCCGAGTTGCCACCTTCTAGAAACGTGCGTTGCGCAAAAAGTTTGTAAATTTTGTAGTTTATTATACGAGCTCTGTTTTCGACATTCTTTATATCCACACGTAGCTATCGATGAGTACTACAACTTTCATTTAGACTCTGCCGACTAATTCTCAATTTATTTTTAAAGGTATATTTTTAATAGACTTAGACTGTTAAAGTCCGTGTAAAAATCATAACTATTTCATATAACATCCGTTTTCGACTGTCTTTATATCGACGGTCTCTTAATCACGAGATCTTCGATTCTCGTTTAGATTGTTTTTCCTAACAATCGACCGATCTAAGATTCGGTTTCTGTATCGCATACTGCTATACTGAAACTTCGAAAAATCATAACTTCCTCATATGAAGTCAGATTTGGATGTTCTCTATATGCATGCTCTCGGTTTATGATTACTACGACTTCTGTTTATGTTATTTATCTTAAATAATCTTCTATAAAAAACATCTATTTATCATTATGACGAATAATTATCCTATTATTCTTTAATCATCTAGCCATATCTTGCGGACGTTATAGTAGGAGAGATGGAGTGTAAGAGAGTGAGGGATCCCTTGTAAAAGTGTTCTTGTCATTTAGAGCTTGGATTATAGTTTGTGTGTAACCCATGTATGCATTATTAGAAGTGTTAATACCTTGGTGTGTTAATGATCATAGTTCCATCAAGATAATCAACGACACCCTCCCTAAGAAAAGAGACATCATTGATTCCAAGGAGCCTAAGGCCTCCTTTAGCTGCCCTAAAAACCACATACAAAGGAATCTACGTCAACGAAATCACTCATAGTAAAATGAGGATGCCCTAACACAATACCTTTTTTTGGCATCGACAAGGACTAAACCAACATTGCTAGTATCCACTGCCACATCATTAAATGAGTAACCTTGTTAGTATCAATGATATTCTCCACAACAACTTCACACACATATATAAGGCTCACCAACCATTGCACTCTCCTCCTAATCTAAATCCTTCTGATAATTGGACTCTAAAACATTGGTTATGACAAGTTTCTTCTAGAACCTACAACTATAGATAATCAAAAAGTGCAAAAAAACAAAATGTATGAAAAAACTAAATAAAGCAAATCGTCATTGTTTACATAAAATGCTGGCACAATACCCTTCACCATCCACAAAGAACTTATTCCAACGAGAGCGAGAATGTGTTCTAAAAATTTCTCTATAGGAATAGAATCACTCGCCAACTGGTTAGAGATTTCATGATGGGGAGGAAATAGTTATAGCCTAGGTTTTAGAGATAAAGCCCTCGTCATAACAAAGTACCTTGTATATCGGTAAATGGCTGACATACAACCAAAATAATGAATCCTTCAAATTCATCATAATTGAGGCATATATGTTGGTCTGTTGATAACACGTGAACCATTTGTTAGTGACTGTCAAATGATAGCATCAACAAAACATGATTGTCTTGGGTTGAACATACAACAATCGACACAGTGGTTTAATGTAAACCAAACTCCAAATAACATTTGGTTTAAGTTGCATAAAAGGCAAATCATCAAGACACACCACTTCACAAATAAAATAAGAAAGAGGAAAACGAATTCCTACCTCTACGACTTTCATATAAATGTCCACCTTCCTAGATAACGGTCCTATAGTAACATCATGTAGGGCACCGATAAATTCAACACCATTAATCTCCACCAAATTGTACTTCTCAACTATCAACAATAGCTGGGATTCACTTAGGTTAAAGCTAATACTACAAATATGTTGATCTTCATCTATTTCTTTTGAAGCAAGTTAATGAAATAAAAGTAAAGAATGGAAAACAGTGCAAGGGTAAACATGAGGAAAGAAAAACTACCATAAAAAGGCAAAAAAAAAAGAGGGGAAATGAGACAAGTATCTGAAAGAAGATAACAAAACAAAGATGACGCATTAAATGCTAATTGGCATAAATCCATCCAAAGCCATCATTCGAGTGGCAACGGGACAAAATGAAATGGCGCTTGGCGTTCTAAATCAAGAGGTTGTGTTTACATCAAACCAAAAGCATGCTAAATATTGACACGCCGGTACAGTTCAGACTGGGGGGCTTAGTGGTGTATTACACCAAGTAGTTGGACCACAACATTTGATTCTGAATCAAGGGAATTGCTATTAAGTGTTCGGACTCACAATCCAACCCTAACGCCAAAATTACTCACCATCAAGACAAGCGTCCACAAGTGACATGAGGTTTTACAACCAACATCAAATCATTTTTTGTCTGTCTTCTAAGAAAAACAAAACGAACATCCTGCCAACAAGCATATTGTGCCAACTACTTCTTCAGACCATATGGCAAGTCTTGTCTCCCCGAAGTATAGTAAAAATACCGTCTGCATGGAGGATCTTAGTAGGCCATTATCTCTTCACCATACATTCTCACACAATCTTTCGACTCATATAATGATGTAATTTGGGTTAACCCGAGACTTACCCAGATTACGACTGATTTTAGCTCTTTTTTTAGTGATCTCACCAGGATACACCATTTCACCTCATGCTCAGAAAGACCCCACACCATCCGTTCGGACCTGGCTGTATCAATTTAATTAAAACCAGACAATATATTATAATGACACAGTATCTAGTTGAATACATATTTTTATATATATCTAAGTTTTGTTAGATGAATGATGATTGAATCAAACACTAACAATAACATTGGGATTTGGGGATGTTTGGGTTCTTTATCTACAAGCGAGAGGGTATATTCTCACGTACATAATTATGACATTTTTGACGTGCCAAATGTCATAACCTTGCGGTTGAAAACTGCACGATTAAACGTTAATCCAGGCAAAATCTATCCCTAATAGACCTCTTCTATTTTTGGAAGCAACATATGTCTCTACAATTCCACCAAACTACGCAAAAAAAATTTGAAACCTCGTTTAGTATCTACAAACCTATCTTCTCCATCTTTCTCTCTCTAAACAACCCTAGAGAGAGAAGGAGGTGGATCATGATCTACGTATTTCGTCAACATAGGTCATGATCAATTCGTTTCTAGTCATTTCATCTCTTTCTCTGTCAACCCACAACCGATTTAACCGTCCTCAACAACCTCTCTCTTCGTTTCCTAAATCATTCCAAAAATGGCATTATCGAAAAGATCATTCAAGAATTTCGTGGTAGAAGAGCTCGGTGAATTCCCTCATTTCCTGCTATGGGCTATTCTCGAATGGATACTAATCGCATCTCTTTACATCGATGGGCTCCTTGCGTTTCTCTCGAGCGTATTCGCCAAGATTTTCGATCTGGAACCACCATGCGTGCTCTGCACTCGTGTCGACCATGCACTCGTGTGTAAGGACCCGAATACTTATTACAACGACTCCATATGCGAGTGCCACAAAAAGGACATATCTTCGTTAGCATATTGCCATATTCACAGAAAACTTGCGGATATCAAGAACATGTGTGAAGGTTGTTCTTTTGCGTTTGCAACTGAGAAAGAATCTGATATACAGTCGCTTTTGGGGAGGATGCAAAAAGAGAAGGATGGGTTTACTGAAGACGATAAGAAGGTTTTGAAGCCTGTCAATAGGTGTTCGTGTTGTGGTGAACCTTTGAAAATGAGAGCTGCTTCTAAAGATTACACTAGAAGCCTTTCAAACCTTCGTGCTTCAACAGCATGGAAAACCGAGGATTCACGGTATACAGAGCTCAGATTTTTATCAGATACCGAGCCAGATATGCGAGAGTACGACTTCGGTTTAAGCACATATGCAAAATGTGAGTTATTTTCACTACTTGCAAGCAGAGATACACAGACCGGTTTGAAGTGCAGTTACAAACGACAAATGTAACTTAATATATATTTGAAAAATCCCAAGTAAAAATGTTTTTTTAGGTTATAATTAAAAATTGTTCAAGAAGTTAATAATGTTTTGTTGGTGCTTTTTTAAAAAAAATATAGCGATATTAAGTGCTAAAAGTTTCTATAAGAATAAATAATTTTTACTCTTTGGACAAATTTTTTTGACATAATTATAAAAAAAGTTTGATTCTATCTGAAATTGATCTAAAACAGTTTGTTCAGGTTTAAAGTTGATTCTAGCCCGCTTTAAAACTGTTCCTTGCATAATCAAAGATGGAATTGTTTTTTCAAGCGAGGACACATTTTAATATTGGACTGTTATGCCTATCTCTACTTGCAAGTCTGTTTCTTTATCATTTTTTGATGAATGTATGTTAGAAGTTGACAAGAAAATTTGAACAATTACATTACTACAGATGACGAACTGCATGAAGACTGTTGTAGAACTCCAAATTTGTTAAAAAGTAACAAGTTATTTGGGATCCCACTAACAGATTCAGGTTCAGTTAGCCCGAGACGGGCTAACAGGATTTCAAGAAAAGCATCAATGGAAAAATATGATTTGGCATCAGACAATGATGAAGCTTCAGGAGATGGTGATTCGAGTCTTCAACAGATAAAGAAACAAGCACGTATAGATCAAAAGACTCTTATGAAACTGTCTATGGAACTTGATGAAGAAAGAAGTGCTGCTGCTATTGCAGCTAATAATGCTATGGCAATGATCACACGGTTACAGGCTGAGAAGGCATCTGTGCAAATGGAGGCGTTGCAGTATCAAAGAATGATGGAAGAGCATGTTGAGTATGATAAGGAAGCTATTCAAATACTTAAAGATTTGTTAGCTAAGAGAGATGAACATTTAAAGGTTATGGAATCAGAACTTCAGAGTTACAGAGAGAAATATGGAGAAATTAGGAAAGTAGGTAGCGATCAATGTGAAGCTGATGCTGATGAATATTACCAGGAATGGAGATCTCAATCTTTGTCATCTTTCAGTGAGAAATCCGAATCCCGGAGCCCTTTAAAAGATGATCATGATCATGAGTTTGAGAGCCCTTTGGTGAAGGATGATGATGATGATTTTGAGTCATGGAGCCCTCTAGGAACGGATGGCAAAGATGGTGATCAGAGCCACTCCGGAAGGGGCACCTCATCGTTAGATTTTGAAACTGAAAAATATCAGCTTTACGAGATGTTAAAGAATCTTGAAAATCATATCCAGACATCTTCAATGGAGGATGAATGGGACGATGATGAAGATAAAGATATAGGTAATATGATTTCTATTCTTTACTTGAATTCATTTTTTTTTACTTTGCTCTTTTAAAGTTCATTATTAATATAGCTTTATTGTGGATTGGCAGTTAAAGAAAATAGGGCAACCCTAAATAGAGAGATAACCGTAATCAGGGAGAGATTGAGAGCCTTAGAAGCAGATAGCGGATTCTTGAAGCATACTGCAATGACACTTCAAAAGGGTGAAAAAGGAGCTGAACTTCTAACAGAGATAGCTCAACATCTACGGAAGCTACGTGATCACTCTGATCAATTAAACAGAATAGATGCTTAAATTTTTCTATACTTGTATGCTAACTAACAACACTATTCTCAGTATACTACCATGCATGCATGATTTTATTACAGAAAAACTTATATTTCTTTTGTTTGTGTTATTTAATTAGGTTTCTAGGTACATATGATATATTTTGGAAGGAAAAGCAACCAAAGGAGCCAGACACAAGTTGTGGGGAACTCTCAAATCTCAACCTCGTGTTATTAGGATCCTGGTAAATTTCAAGACAATCAGAGACCTCGTAAAGGCCCATAAGTCTATGAGTTTCCCTAATTTTAGACCATATATCAGTTTCAGCTTCACGGTTTTCCAGTTTATGTAACTTATTAGTTGGTATAAGTAAAAAATTTCAATTTCCATGTCATAGTAGATGAGATATGTGAATAGTTGCATAGGATTATCAAGAAGTACACATGATCCAGCTATACAATAAGGTTGTATAGCCGGATTATACATTGCATACACCACCTATCTATTAAAAAACTAGTTCATCCATCTTCCACAAACACAGCCAGCTAAACCAAATGTTTTACACCCATCATAAACCAACTTTAATTTTATTAAATAATAGTCTATAAATTTCTAAGACATAAAAAAGATTAAGCTATGATAACTCATATATATATATATATATATATATATATATATATATATATATATATATATATATATATATATATATATATATATACACACACTAATACCCTTGAAATTCAAACCAATTTGAGTTTGAAAAGAAAGAGTATTCCTAGCCTAGGTTTCAATTTCAGTTTGCGAAGTTGTAGGATGAATGACCTTGCTCAAGAATGGGAGGCAGCAGTTGGTGGTCAAAGAAGCATGATGACCATTGTCGGGTATGGTTTCTATAGTTGTATTGTGTGCATTGATAGTTGTTTTGTTCTTCTTTATCTTTTCTGATTAGAGTAACTTATGGGATGTATATTCTTAAATAATGAAACAGCAGAAGCAGATGGTAGAAGAAGCATGATGATTGCTTTGTTTGGTTGTACCATGTGGGAGGTTGTGGTCTTTATTGTTCTTCTTTTCCTGATTTGAACAAGTTATGCTTCACCGGGAGTTTTTGCATAGCACTGACTAATCACATAAGGCATAATAGAGGAATGTGTTGCGAAATGAATCATTATAACTGTTAATGACGTTCCTAAACCCAAGTTGGCATTATTATATTTATGAGATAATGCAACATTTTGAGAAAAGTTGCAATTTTGCTATGTTGTTTTATGCATTGCAAGCTTTTTAATTTCCTAACCATAAGGAGGTTTAATTTTAGTTGATTTAGTATTCTCTTGTATGGATATGTATAAAGTTGTTCAGAAGCGAGAATATAATTTATTCTATCTAATTTTCATGTAATTCCATCTATTTTTTATTTTATTTTATTTTATTTTATTATTATTAATTTTCTATTTTTTTATCATTTCATCTATTTTTTCTATTTTATTTATCATTTCCACTGTCACGAAGATCTAAGATAATCAATATTCTTGCTTCCTTATCATAACTATTGTGTCGATCTTGAATCTACATCTTGAATTTTTAACCGTGAATCCCCTAACCGCAATCTTTATATAGTAAAACAACGTATTTTCATGAGGTTTAGTACATAAGCTTAGGTGGGGCTGTAATGTATATTCACTTTTCCATATATAACTGATGTTTAGGACATAAGCTTAGGTGGGGCTGTAATGTATATTCACTTATATATATATATATATATATATATATATATATATATATATATATATATGGGACGATTCACTTGATCAGATAAAAAAATAGAGATCTTAAGATTCAACCTCAGTTATATATTTCTCATTTGTCGTTCTAACGCTCCAGCGTATTGGCAACAGCGAGACATGCCTAATCATAAATGATTATATATATATATATATATATATATATATATATATATATATATATATATATATGTTCACAAATTTAGTAATTATATATGATTATGACAGTTGGTCGTGGCAAAGGTTGCAGTGGTGTAAGTGACAGAGGTGCAGTGGTGGGGTCGGCTGGTGTCAGAGATGGTGGTAGTGGTGGTGGCTGAAACATCCCAATAATACGGTCCAAAAATTTCTTTTTTAATTTATAATATAACCATAGTAATCTAAAACATCTCATAAAAACATAGATGATAGTATCTCAAAACATCATATCAAAACACTGTATCAAAATCACATGTCCAAATATCAGAGTAAATCATCCCAGACTAAACGCTATGGTGTGTGCAATGCAGTCATCCTGAGCTCTTCCCCTTACTTGCGGAAGTACCTGAAACCAAAACTGAAATCTGTAAGCACGAAGCTTAGTGAGTCACCCCAATCTACCACATACCATACATATCACATAATCACATAACAACATAACTTGGGCCTTGCCCACTACATCGGGCCCCGCTCGGCATCGAACCGTAGTCCGACATTGGGCCCCGCCCGTCATCGGGCCCCACCCGGCATCGGAACGAAATTCGGCATCGGGCCCTGCCCGACATCGAGCAAAGCTCGGTATACATAACAATTCATATAACATAATCATCTAGCATACATATAAACATTCCTCGGGCTTGCCCCAACATCAGACCGATATCCGGAAACATTCTAATAAACACATGCAAGAATCACGAAGACACCAAGCATACAGACATTCCTCAGGCTTCCCCCGGCATCGGACTGAAGTCCGGAAACACATAAACCTACATCGTCCACAGCCCGACATCGGGCCCTAGCCCGACATATACTAACATACATACACAAGCCGGCATTGGTGCCTTTGACCCGTTCCTAATGGAGGAAAACTCACCTCGCAAAGCTGTCTGTGAAATCTCACGGTGTGGAGTCTCTAACTGCTACTCCAACGACTCCTCGACGATTATTATCACAATAACACTTAGTCAAAATTCAATAATCCTTCTTAGGGTAAAATGACCATTTTACCCCTGGTCAAAGTCAACAGTCTGGTTAAAGTTAATATTCTGGTTTGACTCACCTCGCCAAGTTGGCCCATCAACTCGTCGAGTCCCCTAAATCAAAAACCCTGAAATCGCGATCCAACTCGTCAAGTCATCCTCAGACTCGTCGAGTTCTACCATGTACAGAATCGGGACAAATCAACTCAACTCATCGAGTTCCTCTATGGACTCGACGAGTTCCTATGTCTGTTTGGGCCATCTTAACTGATTAAGCCTCTACACTTCAGATCTAAGCTTCTTGCTTCTCATACACACTAAAAACGTCTTTTTAAGGGTAAAGTTTCCAACTTTACCCATTAATACCCTCTTTTGACGGGTTTAGCTCAAACCCTAACTCTTTAGGACTTAGATCTTGGTCCACAAGTCATCCGTACACCAAACTATACCATACAAACAGATATCTAGGCCTTAAACATTTCATGAACACGCAAATCTTCCACCTTTCACTCCATGCATGGCCTTTTGGAACTTAAAAGGCCAAAAATAACATCTTATGGCTTGTATGGGGCTTGAATGGCCATAAAGTTTGCACCTTTATTCCATGAAAGCCCTCAATGATTCCATATCTGATGGTTCACTCACTTGGGACGTCCATATCCCGAAGATCAAGCTTCTTGGACCAAAAACTCAATAAAAAGATGATAAAGGGATCTAAGAAGCTACTAAGCAAGTTTGATACTTGTTTACCAGAAAATGATGAGGAAAAAACGAAGTTGCTGGATCTAGTACCTCATTCTTGAGTCCTCAAGCTTCCATTTCCTTCACAAGCTTCAAAACACAGAAGGTTTCACTCAAAAATGGCTCACAAGCTCACACAAGGCTCTAGGGTTTCATGGCTAGGGTTTTGGGACTTGGAGGCTGTAAATGAGGCTGTCATAAGGAGATTAAGATGCTTAAATAGGGTACAAAACCCCGAAATTAAGGTTTCACTATGGCTGTCCTACTCGTCGAGTAGACTTTAAAACCCACGTCCAAATCCATTTCCTACTCGACGAGTTTGGGCCTCCAACTCGTCAAGTTCCTAACTAAAAATGAATAAGATTATAATTTAAAAACATACCAGGAAACCGGTGTTACAATTCTCCCCCACTTTTCTTAGACTTCGTCCTCGAAGTATGCTGCCTCGAATAACTCAGGGTAGTGCTCCCTCGTCTCCTCCTCTGGCTCCCAAGTCCACTCCGAGCCATTACGGTGCTGCCACTGCACCTTCACCAGCTCAACCCTCTTGTTCGTCAGCTCATTTGTCTTCTTGTCGAGAATAGCTACTGGTCTCTCGATGTAGTTCAGGTTGTCATCAACCTATATATCCTCTAGAGGCACAATTGCGGAGTCATCCACTAGGCACTTCCGCAGCTGGGAAACATGAAAAGTGCTATGGATCTGGCTGAGCTCTGCTGAAAGATCCAATCGATACGCCACCTTGCCAACCTGGGCTATAACCCTGAAAGGACCGATGTACCTAGGGCCCAGCTTGCCCCGCTTCCTGAACCGGATGACATCTTTCCAAGGTGATACCTTCAGCAGAACCATGTCGCCCACCTGAAACTCCAAGTCTGAACGGCGCTTGTCGGCATAGCTTTTTTGTAGAATCTGAGCAGTCGGGAGCCTGCTCCGGACCTGCTGGATCCTCTCAGTGGTCTTGAGTACTACCTCAGTACTCCCCATGACCCTCTATCCGACCTTGCCCCAACAGATTGGGGCCCTACACTTCCTCCTGTAGAGCATCTCGAAGGGAGGTCGGTCTATGTTGGCATGGTAGCTGTTGTTATATGAAAATTCCGCTAACGGAAGAGACGTATCCCAACTGCCACCGAAATCCAAAACACATGCACACAGCATGTCCTCGAGATTCTAAAATGTCCTCTCGCTCTGTCCATTCGTCTGATGGTGGAAAGCGGTGCTGAAGTGGAGACGAGTACCCATCTCATCGTGGAACTGCTTCCAAAATCTGGAAGTGAAACGAACATCTCGGTCTGACACCACCGAAACGGGCACTCCATGGCGTGCCACTACCTCGCGAACGTAGATCTCGGCTAGCTTCTCAGCCGACATACTTTCCGGGATCGTGATAAAATGGGCGCTCTTGGTCAACCGATCCACGATGACCCATATCGAATCTACTCCACGTGCGGTCCTGGGAAGCTTCGTGATGAAATCCATAGTGATGTCTTCCCATTTCCACACGGGAATATCCAATGGCTACATCTTGCCGTGTGGTCGCTGGTGCTCGACCTTGACCTTCCTGCAGGTTAAACACCGCTCCACATACCATGCCACGTCCCACTTCATGTAGGGCCGCCAGTAATCGGGGCGAAGATCCCGATACATCTTCGTCGCCCCGGGATGGATGGAGAACCTCGACTTGTGGGCCTCATCCATCAGAACCTGTCGTACTCCGCCCCAGTACAGAACCCAAACTGTGACAACTATCAATTCAGGTCATTCTCGGACTCATGCATCTTTATAAAAACCATTCATGCACAACATGCCATGGCCTAGTAGTATAAATTAGGTCAAAATCTTGCATAAACTAGGACCCAACTAAGATCTAGGACTAATATACTTGACACTTACGATTCTAGTAAGTTGCTTAACTACAATAGGAAATGCCAATGCTATAATTAGAATAAACTTCAAACCTTGCTACAATTGAAAAAGGGTATAAAACCCTAAAAATAAATTAAAATATTCTAATTTCATTTCAATATGATGGTGAATATCAAACAATGTTCCAAAAACCCTAAAGAGCCCAAAAATCCATATTTATAAACTTTAAAACCTAAAAACTCTATAAGATTTGTTATGAACCTCATTAGATAAAATTTAAATAATTAAGTCATAAGGATATAATCAAAGATATAAAGATTTAATTATCAAACATAAATCATATTTTATGAGCTAAAAACAAAGATTCTTAAATAAATCATGAATTACATAAAGAGGCATTTTTATAAAAATTTGGGTTTTATAAAAATTGAAGGGAAATTTATTTAGTTTGAATTAGGAGAGAGAGGGCCTCTCTTACACTCATAAAATCTGCCACCGTCTCCCCCATGCTCCATTTTTCCCCAAAAATTCTTAATCATTTTATTCTTCTCTTACACTTCAACTTCCCATACACACTCTCTCTCTCACTCCTTCTCCAAGAAGATTCCCCACCTCAAAAACCTCTCCTACACC